CCTACGCCAACTTCACCACGGAGCAGCGCCGTGGGTTGGACGCGATCACCCTCGCGCTCCACAACCTCCAGCTGCGGGAGCAGGCCGTGGGCGGCCGCGGCGGCCGAGGTGCGCGCAGCGACGCCGACGGCGGTCGCTCCGTGGACGGCGGGACCGCCAGTGAGGCCCCGAGTGCAGCAACCACGGGGGCCCTCAGCGGGCATCGAGGCAAACGCCACCGCCGACGCAGCAACAACGCTGTCTACGGCCAGGCCCCCCAGCCGAGCGGCGGCGCACCTGCCGCGCTCGAGGACGCCGAGACGATGGCGGAGGAGGACTACGCCGAGGCGGGCTACGTCCACTGCATGGGTGCGTACTGGGTCCCGCCGCAGCGCCTGGGCTGGTGTCGGAGGTGCACCGAGCTGGACGACTGGAAGATCATGGCGGTGGAGTGCGTGGACGAGCTCAGTTGTGGTGAGATGCGCCGCTATGCCGAGGCCAAAGAGCGCAACCAGCAATGCCCCGAGCTGAGGAGGGGAAAGGAGGGCCAACGCAAGCTATACATGTGCTCGCGCTGCGTGGCGACGACGCAGAACATCACAGAGCACGAGGCCGTGACGCGCGCAGCGCGCTCGAACAAGGGCATTGGCTCCATCGACCACGCCGCCAAGCGAGTGGCGAAGTTCCGTGCGAGCTTCGACTACGTCAAGGATGGCGTGGACGTGCTGGTGGGGTTCGCGCTGTCCGAGGAAGGCCTGCTTGCCCTGCGGAGGTCCACGGAGGGCGCAGGGGTGGGCATCGATCCCGAGAGCACGGGCGCCCCCCCAGCCACGGAAGCGGTGGCGGAGGAGGTCGGCCGCCCGATGGCGACGGAGGTGGGGGCGGTGCCAGGGCCGCCCCGCGCGCCACCCCCACCCCTCGAGGACGGACCTCCCCGCGACGAGGAGGGCGACCCCCAGCCCGACATCGATGCTGAGAACCAGGAGCACCAGCTGACCGATGTCAAGACCGTGGATGAGGTCACGGACATCGGGCCCCTGCTGCGGCTCGGCCTCTCCAAGAAATCGCTGAAGCGTATGGCGCGGGCCTGCGGCGTCTTCAAATTCGAGACCCTGCGTGCCCACGTGCTGGGAGGCCCGGGGCCCATCCTGGAGAGGAAGGAGGACATGGTGAGGGGCGCAGAGGCGCAGAGCGGAGTCCAGAAGTGGCCCGACGCGCTGAATGAGGAGGCGGGGGGGGACGTGGGAAGGCTGAAGAAGGGCGCCCTGGAAGCTTCAGGGATCGCGGACGCACACCTGGGACACAAACGTGCCTGGAAGGAGGAGTGCCAGGGCAACACCGCGGCGCAGGAGGCCTACCGCCGCATGGGCGATTACACGGACCAGTTCTACCGTGGCAAGGGCTTCGCGTTCAACATGTACTACAAGTGCTCGGCCAACAAGACCTGGGATAACCCCAGGGGATGCTGCTCGGTGGTCCGATCGGATCGCTGGACGCAGCTGCTCACCTGCGCGCGGGAGGCGGCGGGGGAGACGGGCCAGCGCTGGTGCTGCCACTGCGGTGCGCGCTACTCGACCCCCTACGGAGTCTGCGTCGAGTTGGTAGAGGAGGAGTTGACCCCGCCACGTGCGTACTAAACGCACGCGGAGCATCCCGAGGAGGACATCCGCGACTTCAAGGCCCTGCCGCGCTACGACAAGCTCAAGAAGGAGGAGGTGCCTGTGTTCAGCGCGGTGGGCCTCCTGCAGTACCTGCCCAAGGTCGAGCCGCCGGCAGTGGGCGCCGTCTTCAAGCGCCACGCTCCGCACCAGCCGCAGTGGGAGGGCCACTATGCGCTGATGGAAGGGGCTCTCTTGGGAGAGCCTGACCGAGTTCAAGTGAGCCGACCTGGACGCGCAGGTCGCCTGGGGGCTGAGCGACCCAGAGTGGGCGGGCCACAGCAAGAAGTCGCGGAATAAGGCCAAGAGGGAGCGCCTGGAGATGGCGCACAGGGAGCTGGCGCTCAACGAGCGCCGCCACAACCTGCGGGAGGGCAGCCTCGCGGGCGGCGGGGGCGGCACAGGGGTCGCCCCGCGCGCCGCCCCCGTCCGCGCCGCCAGCGCCCCTCCAGCGGGGAGCGGGGTGGGCCCGTGGCAGCCAGGACCCGCCACCACCGCCTGTCGGAGCCCCGCCAGCGGCCATCATGGCCCCTCCGCCCCCGCCGCTGACGGCCCCCCCAGCGGCGCCGCCGCCGCCGACGGACCCGCCGCCGCAGACGGACCCGCTCCCGCAGCAGATCCCAAATGCTGCAGCCCTGAACGTGGCCCTCGGTGAAGATCTCGAGCGCCAGATCTTTGGGCCCTCAGGGCAGGCGGGCGGCAGTGGCGACCTCGGGGGGGAAGTGCAGGCGCTGCCGCCGCAGGTCTTCGCAGCCATTGCGCAGGGAGCAGGCCAGCCTGCCTGAATGATGAAGCCCAGCAGGTTCCAGGCCCTCGGCAGGCCACGTGAGTCCATGCCAATATTTCTTGCCTGCCACTTTCAGTTGCGCGGCGTGCCCACAGTGGCACCCCCCTCGCGTGGCAGCACCTGTGGTTTTAGCCTCTGCTCGGCGCACGGTCGCCCGTGCGCCTAGCTACTCTGGCTCGCCAACTGGCTGGCCATCTTGGCCTCCCCTCGCGCTCACTTGCGCTCGTGGGCCTCGCTGGCGGTGCTGGGGCCGCCCCGTGTGCTGCCGCGTCGCCGTTGGGCGCCTAGCCATTTTGGCTTGCCATCCTGGCCTCCGCTCGCGCCTTCTTGCGCTAGTTGGTCACGATGGCGGTACTGGGGTCGCCCCGCGTGCCGCTGCGCTGCCGCTGGCGCTTCACTTTGGGCCGTTGGGACCAGCTGCCCGCGGCCAAGCGCATGCCGCTGCATGCGCGTCAGACCCGCCCTTGGCTTGCCATCCTGGCCTCCTCTCGCGTCTTCTTGCGCTAGTTGGCCTGGGCGGCGGTACCGGGGTCGCCCCGTGTGCTGCTGCACCGCCGATGGCGCTTCACTTTGGGCCGTAGGGGCCAGCTGCCCTCGGACAAGCGCCTGACGGTGCAAGCACGTCAGACCCGCCCTTTCACCCAGAAGAGGTGCCCGCTACATACTGGCAATGAGGCAGCCACAAGGACGCTCTTCCCAAGGTGGTTGAGCCGTGGTGATGTGGTGCACGAGACCGCCAGTAGTAGTAGTAGTAGTAGTAGTAGTAGTAGTAGTAGTGGTGTGGTGGTGGTGGTGGTGGTGGTGGTGGTGGTGTGGTGGGTGGTGGTGTTGTAAGTAGTACTAGTGTTAGTGGTAGGAGTGGTAGGAGTAGTAGGAGGTGGAGTAGGAGTAGGAGTAGGAGTCAAGCTAGCCAGCTCGAGCGAGTCAAGCATGGCATGCCCAGTCCCACCCGCCCTCCCACAACATAAGAAGCAAAGCTGGCACAACTGGGGGCCGAAGTCACACCGGCCAGCCGGTTTGGTACACCTGATGCGGCCGCGATGGCGGTTGCCGACGGGAACTGGCGAGCGCGCGTTGAATGCCGCGCGCGGCGCTGAGGCGAGAGCGACATGTCACCCTTTGGCGCAGGATGTGCGCCGCGTCCCACTCCTGCCATGCATTTTGCGACGTGGACGACAGGACGTCCATGCGACGGTGCCAATGATGGCGACGACTCTAGAAGGATTTGAGCACGCGCTCGCGGCGACGCGCGCGCATGTCGCCCGCGTGGTGTTTTTTGCATAGGATTCGCGGCCTGGGTGCATGACAGAGCATCGCGAGTGCACCGCGCGGTGACGTGAAATCGCTGGATTCGACAGAATTCTTAAGGTTCCTATGGTTTTCCTATGATTTCAACCAGACAGCCCGGGCAGGAAATTTGTAGAATTTTTGTGCAAAAAGCGTATGATTTTGATGTTTTTATGTCGAAATGCTTGCAAACACAGAGAGGCCTCACGAGAAACCCCAGGAGGCCCCAAGGGACCCCATGCGCCCATACGATTCATGGGATTGCATTAGGAGGCGTCCAGAAGGCCCCAACTTGTATTGTTTTTTTATAACGGGGGGGTTTGGATGGGCGGGCGCGGGGTGTGCGCCGCATCCCATTCCTGCCAAGCATTTTGCGACGTGGACGACAGGACGTCCATGCTGAGAGGAAAAACGTTGGTGCGCGGCGCCGAGGCGAGAGCGACATGTCACCCCTTCGCGCGGGGTGTGCGCCGCGTCCCATTCCTGCCACGCATTTTGCGACGTGACGACAGCACGACCATGTTGACAAGAAAAACAAAAACTGTGTATTGTCTTTTGCAGATTAGAATGGGACGGATTGGATGGGCGGGCGCGGGGTGTGCGCCGCGTCCCATTCCTGCCATGCATTTTGCGACGTGGACGACAGGACGTCCATGCGACGGTGCCAATGACGGCGACGACTCTAAAAGGATTTGAGCATGCGCTCGCGGCGACGCGCGCGCATGTCGCCCGCGTGGTATTTTTTGCACAGGATTCGCGGCCTGGGTGCATGACAGAGCATCGCGAGTGCACCGCGCGATGACGTGCAATCGCTGGATTTGACAGCATTCTTCAGATTCCCATGGTTTTCCTATGATTTCAGCAAGAGAGCCCGGGCAGGAAATTTGTAGAATTTTTGTGCAAACAAAATTGGGTTTTTGATGTTTTAATGTTGAAATGCTTGCAAACACACGGTGTTCGGTAGGATTATGACATGAACGCGCGCGTGTGCTCTTTGTGGTATTTTATGCAATGGATTATCGCCGTGGACGACAGGACGTCCATGTCGAGAGGAAAAAATAAGAAAAATGTTGATTGTGTATTGTTTTTTACAGGTTAGGATGGGACCACCCGGATGGGTCCCCTATCTGCCGGCCTGATGGGGGGAGTAGGAGTATATTCTAATAAGGAATAAGGATAGGAGCAGTATCAGCAGCAGCAGCAGCAGCAGTATCAGTGGTAGTGGTAGTGGTGGTAGCAGTCACAGGATGCGGACGATCAGTCAGGTCCTGGTCTTTCATCCACAGGAGGACTGCGTGACGGAGCCGACGTTCGTCCCCTCCATCGGCAAGTTCGTGGCCGCCCGGTTCCTGCAGTCCTCTGGCTCCTACGTGTCGGTCTGCTGGGCTCCCCACCTGTCCGGCTCCGCCCGCTATGCCCACAGCGCCCACAGCGCCCACCTCTCGCCCATCAAGCCCTCCTTTTGTTCCATTGCTCCGTTCTCCTTTCACTTTCCCTTTCCATTTATCGTGGCTGCTCTCCCTTTTCAACCTTCTCTCCATTCGTAACTGCCCTCGTCACCCTTCTCACCCTCTCGCCCTTTCCCTTCTCTGCCGCTTTCTTCTGTCTCCCTCTGTCTGTCTTGCTTTCCACTTGTCCTCTCTCTCTCTCTCTCTCTCCCTTTCTCCCTATTGCCTTCCCCCTTCCCTTCTCCCATTCCCCTTTTCTCCCTCCCGTTTTCTCGTCACAACTGCTCAATGTGTATACCATTTTCGTTTTTCTCCTGATGTTCACGCGTTCACGCAGGACTTCAACGTTTGTTTTTTCGTGCGATATGCATCTCGTTCAGACTGTGTTCGGTTTTTCCAACATGGTTCTCCCACTGCGTCGTTGGCCACATGTCAGGCTCGACACTTTGCTCCCGTCGTTCAGAATGGCTCTCTCGCCCCAGCGTGTGCCATATTCTGGATCCGATCCCTTAGTCGTTGCCGTCCACTCCTTTTCCCTCCTCCGCCGTTTCTGGTCTTCTGCTTACTCCTGCTGCTGCTGCTGCTCTTCCTCCTCCTCCTCTTCCTCCTCCTCCTCTTCCTCTTCCTCCTTCTCGTCCTTCTCATCCTCAATCTCCCTCTCCCTCGGCAGAGGAGCCGAGCCGAGCCTCCTCCTCCCTCCTTCTCCCTCCTTCTCCTCTCTCCTCTATCCTCCTCCTCTTCTTTCTCTTTCTCCCTTCTTCTCCTCCCTCCTCGTCCTCCTCCTCCTCATCGTCCTCCTCCTCCTTCTCCTCCTCGTCCTCGTCCTCGTCGTCCTCCTCCTCCCTCCTCCTCCTCCTCCCTCCTCCTCCTCCCTTCTCCTCCCTCCTCCCTCCTTCTCATCCCTCCTCCTCCCTCCTCCCTCGTTCTTCTCCCTCCTCCTCCTCGTCGTCCTCCTCCTCCTTTTCCTCCCTCCTCATTTTCCTCCGAATGATTGCGCATCACACGATGGGCTCATTTTGGGGATCGAGGTCCTGAAGGACACCCCAATCGGCGAATGGAACAGTATTTAGGGCACTGGGAAGCGATGGGTAGGCGGGTCAGATGTCATATGTGGCGCGAGCACACTCAGCTTGCCCCTCCTCTTTCCCCCTTTTCCGCTTTCCATTTTGTTCTTCACCACTACTCCATGTGGATGCTGTTCTCCTCTCTCCCTGGAGACTACGGGAGCGTGGCGCCCTTTCTTTCGTATATCCGTGAGGGCTTCGTCCCCTGCCGCCGGCCCCTTCTCTATCTGAACGGGATACATAAGAGCTATATCAAGATGTCTTGACGCTGTCTTGCAGACATTATGATGGTGATGCTGATGATGCTGATGCTGACGCCGATGGTGACAGTGACGGAGATATCGCTCATGGGGATGCTACGGGCGCTGGTGATGATGATGGTAATGTTGATGGTGATCAAGGGCGTGGCTTGCGGGGACGCGACCATTGCATAATTTATGGGGGACCGTGGCCTCGGTGACGCAACAAGTGCGTCATGTACGAGGGTTTATGGCCTCGAGGACGCGAACGTGTCGTACGTTAGAATTGTGTATGGCTTCGAGGACGCATGGCGCATGGCGTAACTTACAAGGGATCGTGGCCTCGGGGATGCGAGCATTGTGTGATTTACAAAGGGATTCTGCCTTCGAGGACGCAGATATTGCGTAATGTGCAAGGGATCGTGGCCTCGGGGACGCGACTTCTGGCCATCTCCCCCCTTCCTCTCCTTCCCTTCCCTCTCCATCCGTGCCGTATCCTCTCCCGCCAGACCTCTCCCCTCCCTGACTCTCTCACTCGCTAGCCTCCTTCGCTTTCCCCAGCTTCTCCAGCATGCCTCCTGTCTCCCCTGTGCTCCCTGCTCTCTCGCTCTCTCCTCTGGGGGTCCCCAGAGGCCCCCAGAAGTCTCCCGGGACCCAAGGACTGCCCCGAAAGTGCCCCAAATTTCCAAACCTCGGTCCTCCTCCTCCTCCTCCTCCTCCTCCTCCTCCTCCTCCTCCTCCTCCTCCTCCTCTCTTCCTCCTCCTCCTCCTCCTCCTCCTCCTCCTCCTCCTCCTCCTCCTCCTCCTCCTCCTCCCCCCCTCTTTCCCATGTGACGCTAGACGGGCTCTCATGAACAGGCTCTCATGAAGGCAGTGCGCTCCTCTTTCCCATGTGATGCCATCTCTGGTTCGCTCGCTCCTCCACGGCACGACCTCCCCTTACCCTCTGCTTCCTCGAGGTCTTCATGCGACCGCAGACCGCTATCGGGTCAGACCCGTCCGCCACGATGCCCGTGCACTACAACGTAGCGAAGACGGACGCTGCTGGCAACGGGGGGCCTGCGCTGGCGCGCGTCGCGGCGGCAGCGCTTTGTGCCAGGGCCAGGAGGGCGAGGCATCGGCGAGGACGAAGACGAGGAGGTGGATGACGAGAACGATGAGGGACGGGGAGGATGAGGACGAGGACGAGGAGGAGGAGGAGGACGAGGACGAGGACGAGGAGGAGGAGGAGGAGGAGGATAAAAGGAGTAGGAGGCGGGAAAAAAGGAGGAGGACAAAAGGAGGAGGATGAGGAGGAGGAGGAGGAGCAGGACCAGTGTAAACCCAAGAGTCATCAACGATGGTGGCGCAAACCCTCCCTCGAAGATCCCTCTCCATAGGCCCTAGAAGGGTGTTCATTTCCACTGGGGGAACTGCCTCTTTGGAAGACAGCCGTTTGAAGACCCTGAAATATGCCAAGACATTATTTTCTGGACTTTAACGTTACAGATCAATCTGACTGTTGCGTCTTGACGATTTTGAATCGTGTCAGAAAGCTTTTCCTTGGTATGTAAGTGTTGCGCCCTCATAATACTGAAGCTTTCCCAAACACCGCTTCTGGTGCGTTGACCATGGGACTCCGCGAAACTCTTGCATTAAAGAAAAAAACGAATGCGCGCGGCGCTAAGGCGAGAGTCACATTTTGAAAAGGAACCGCCCTCAATCCGTGAAGCTCTTGCATATTTGAACGAATGTGCGCGGCGCTAAGGCAAGAGTAACATTTTGAAAAGAAGCCGCCCTCAATCCGTGAAGCTGTTGCATATTGTTCAAAAAGACGCGCGGTGCTAAGGCAAGAGCAACATTTTGAAAACGACCCGTGCTCAACCCGTCAAACGAACGTGCGTGGCGCTAAGGCGAGAGCCACATGTTGAAAACGACCCGCCCTCCATCTGTGAAACCGCTTCTATTCTTTAAGTTCAGGGTTAGAACTGGTTAGGAAGTCTCAGGCGACACGCCCGGCCCGCTCTTTCGACCGGCCTCGGGGTGCGTCAGGGAGAAGTTATTCACAAGAGAAAGGATTGGAGGACGAGGAGGACGAGGAGGACGAGGAGCACGAGGAGCACGAGGAGCACGAGGAGGACGAGGAGGACGATGACGAGAGGAGGTGGAGGACGAGGAGGAGAGGAGATGGAGGAGGAGGAGGAGGAGGAGGAGGAGGACGAGGAGGAGGAGGAGGAGGAGGAAGTGGAGAGGAGGAGGAGGGTCTGACAGGGTGAACCGTGTCGCCACGGTCGTGCCTCTCGCTCCGCATCCTTGTGGGCGCCGCCAGTATTTGCGCACTCGGCGTGCTCTTGAGGGTTACGCGTTTTCGGGCGCGTCCGAGACGAAGCCATCGCTCGCACGGGGGGCTCAGAAACATGATGGACCCACGAACCCGGAAAGGGATATAGACATGTGCAGCATGGTCACGTTTTCACGATACCCAACTGGGCGACACCCCACGAAACATCCCACGAGACACCCCGCGAAACATCCCACGAGACACCTCACGAAACATTCCACGAGACACCTCACGAAACATTCCACGAGACACCCCGTGAAACATTCCACGAGACACCCCGTGAACAGGCAACCACTCAACCAGACACACCACGAAACATTCCACGGGGGTGCGACTGGGTGTGGTCGTGCTTGGGTGTGGTCGTGCTGGGGTGTGGTCGTGCTGGGGAGTGGTCGTGCTGGGGAGTAGTCGTGCTGGGGGGTGGTCGTGTTGGGGGGTAGTCGTGCTGGGGGTGTGGTCGTGCTGGGGGGTGGTCGTGCTGGGGCGTTGTCGTGCTGGGGCGTGGTCGTGCTGGGGCGTGGTCGTGCTGGGGCGTGGTCGTGCTGGGGTGAGGTCGTGCTGTGGTGAGGTCGTGCTGGGGTGTGGTCGTGTTGGGGTGTGGTCTTGCTGGGGTGGGGTCGTGCTGGGGTGGCGTCGTGCTGGGGTGTGGTCGTGCTGGGGTGTGGTCGTGCTGGGGTGTGGTCGTGCTGGGGCGTGGTCGTGCTCGTGGGGGTGGTCGTGCTGGTCGTGTGTGGTCGTGCTGGGGTGTGGTCGTGCTGGGGTGTGGTCGTGCTGGGGTGGGGTCGTGCTGGGGGTGGTCGTGGTCGTGCTGGGGTGTGGTCGTGCTGGTCGTGCTGGTCGTGCTGGGGTGTGGTCGTGCTGGGGTGTGGTCGTGCTAGTGTGGTCGTGCTGTGGTCGTGCTGGGGTGGGGTCGTGCTTGGGGTCGTGCTGGGGTGTGGTCGTGCTGGGGTGTGGTCGTGCTAACAACGCGAATTAGTCGAGACATCCTCGAAATTCCTGCGCGAGGAGCGCTTTTCCGTGTCGCGGTCGGCTCTGCAAAACCAGCGTTTCGCTCGAGACATCCTCAACAAATTCTGAAACCAAGCGTTTCGCTCGAGACATCCCCAACTCTGCAAAACCAGCGTTTCGCTCGAGACATCCTCAACAAATTCTGAAAAACAAGCGTTTCGCTCGAGACATCCTCAAATTTTAATCTGCCGGCCTCCTTCGGCCTCGATATTTATCAGGGAAAAAATCCGCCGGCCTCCTTCAAGTTGGCACCGGGGGACAGGTTTACCTACTAAAAGAGAACCCTGGGCCCCCGCCCTTTCCGGGAAAAAAGAAAGATGCCTGAATAGGAGTGGGCGCTGCAGGCGCAGGTCCACTAAATGAGGCGACCCAGGTCACAAACGAGTTGCCGTGGAATGCTGACCGCGCGCAACTGAGCGGTGACGGAGACAAGCCGGCCCCATGCAGATGGGGGTCATCGGGGAAACGTAAGGCTCGAGTTCGGCGGAATTGGGGTTTGCCGACGCTTTCTGACGGGCCCGCACCGAATTTTGACGCACCCGTTTTCGAGGGATGTTTGCAGCGGGAGTTCGTGTCAAGTTTTAAGTTGTGTCTCGTCATTTTACTGGCGGCTCCGTCAGGTGAACCCGAGTCCCCCGATCCGAGTCTTACGTCTCCCCGAGATTAGTGGCGATGCCGTGGGCTGCTCGGTGCTCGGCGAAGTCGACGTGGAGAGGAAAAGATGCAAAGGGCCGTCTGTGCTTGAGCCTGTGCAGGTGCCTGTGCCTTTGTCCTGCGTCTGCCTCTGCGTCTCCGTCTGCGTCTGCGGCTGTGTCCGCGTCTGCGTCTGCGACTCCGCCTGCGTTGGTGTGTGTGTGTGTGTGACCATTCGTCTGTCCGTCCGTCTGCCTGTCTGCCTGCCTGTCCGTCCTCTTTCTCTCAACTCGACGCCACGGTGCTTGCGCTCCGAAGGAGATCCTGTGCTTCATCCGCCAGTGCGAGGAGGCGGCGGCTCGCCCCCCGCCGCCAGACCCCACTGCCCCTCTCGGAGCTCGGCGGTGGAGGCTCTGGCCGAGGAGGCTCTGGTCGAGGAGTTTTGGTCAAGGCAGGAGGAGGAGGAGGAGGAGGAGAAGGAGGAGGAGAAGGAAGAGTCGGAGCCGGAGTCGGAAGCCTTGGCCACTGGTGAGTCCTCTGCTCTCATGAGGGGGCTCGTTTCGCATGTCTCGCAAGCTCGGTGGCTGCTGGCTACATCATCGGCATTGCAAAGGTCAGCCCACGTGTCCTTGCTTTTCGTTGAGCCCCATGGGCCCGCTGCAGCTCGGCGCCGAGCCCTTTTCAAACAAAATCTTTTACTCCTCCCCCTCCCACTGGAGGAATCGTGCAGGGAACCAGGAGCCGGGGACCGCGAACCAGGAACCGGGAACCGGGAGCTGGAAACCGGGAGCCGGGAATCGGGAACGGGGATTTGGGAACTGGGAACCCAGGACCCAGATCCTGGAACCCTGAACCCGGAACGGGGAACTGGGATTTGGGCACCAGGAGCATTAGGAACCGGGAGCCAGGAATTGGGAGCCGGGAAACGGGAGTTGGGAGCCGGGGGATTGGGATTTGGGAATCGGGAGCTGGGAATTGGGAGCCAGGGTCTTGGAATTGGGACACAGGGGCCCAGGACCTGTGACAGGTGTTCGAAACATACTGGGGAACCAGGAAACAGGGAGAATGAAGGATCCTGATATTCATATTCACTTATATAATTACAACTATCCAGTGCAAGAGGGAGGGATAACTGTACATAAGCAAAGCCAAACATTTTATAGCGACTGACACCTCAATATGTATCCATAGACCAATGCATACGCAGACGTACTCCATGTGCATGTGTACATATATATATATATATATATACATACATGCGCATGTGTACACATGAATGCACTTACGTACGTGTATACACGTACACGTATGTATATCGTTGTAGAGTGGAAAGGGAGGTACAGACAGAGAAAGAGAGGGGGAGAGTGATACGTAACGATAATGACAGGGTTACGCATGTACATTCCTGTATGTACAGTGTTATGCTCAGAGAACGGTATTTATATCTAGACACCGCCATCGGGCCATACATGTACGCAAATCATGTTGTATTCACTGTTTTTGCACACATTGTCATTTATGTAGGAGCAAACGCTTTAATACGAATCCATGTAGTGCCGTATACAGAGAGAATTATAGAGCGAGACATAAATGATGCACCAATCAAACATAAGTCCCTATATACAGAAATATTGATATATACATGTATACGTACACATATATATACATATGTATGCATGTATATGTATGCTGAGAAACATGACAGAAGCAACATATACATGTACACTCACACTTGTATTCACATAGCAACTACGGACACTTGTAGGCGGCCAAGCAGCGAAAGCTGACAGGATCATCTTTCCAGTGTGCACGCTCGAGAGGCATCCACAGAACCGCGAGTTCAAGGCTCGGCACGCGAGCACATCTGAGCCATCAGCCAGCACTAAGTCCATTTCCCAAACGGGTCGTGTGGCCTTCAGGCCGGAGAGCCTCGGGGCTTCCGAGAAAAACGCAGACCCAAGAGCTATTCACAAAAGGTCTTGGCTAGGCGCAGGCCGTGGAGCTGTTTCGACGAATGGGCAAGGATAGCGGCGGCAGCGGCGACGAAAGGAGATGGATATTCCGCTGCCAAGCTAGTCCACTTCCGACCACCTGGCGCAGTGCCTGACAATTTCTTTGCGGGAGTTACCATTGCACCTGTGCGCGAGGGAGGCCAACACGAGATCTTCCAGCCTTGGATACGCTGGCTTTCCGCCATCTGGCTCCGAACAGAAAGGTGGCACACGATGTGGCTGGAGTCAGAGCCTGGGGCGAGTTTTGCGAGCCTGGGCGCGGACCAGAGCAAAGACGTTTGTGAATTATTGATCAAAGTGGGTACCCTAATATCGCCAGAAGGCGAACTATTCTGCAAGAGAAGCTGAACGTGGCATTGTCTATCGTACGGAAAGTGCGCCAGATAATCTCCTTGAATACACCAAAGGGGAAGGGGGTTCCAGAACCCCCCTTCCCCTCCCCCCCTTCAAGGGGAGGGGGTCCGGACCCCCTCCCCTTTCCCCCCTTAAGAGGTGTGGGGGGTTCCCGAGCCCCCCCCCCCCTCCCTTGAAGGGGTGGGGGGGTCCGGACCCGCCCCCCCTTCTCCCTTAGCGCTGGAAAGGGGGAGAGGGGGGTTGGGACCCCCCCCCCCCTCCCCCCTCGCCCCCTTTGCGCCGGAAAGGGAGCCGGGGAAGGGGGGCCTCTCTCGCTTCTCCTTTCTGCACTGGAGAAGGTGTGTAGGGAGTACGGGGTTGGGAGTAGGGAGTGGTGAGTAGTGAGTACTGCGTTAGTGCGTAGTGAGCAGTGAGTATTGGGTAGTGAGTAGTGGGTGGTGAGTGGCGAGTAGAGAGTAGGGAGTAGGGAGTGGGGAGTAGTGAGTAGTGAATAGTGAGTAGTGTGTACTGATAAGTGCGTAGTGAGTGGCGAGTAGTGAGTAGTGTGAGTAGCGAGTAGCGAGTAGTGAGTACAGAGTAGGGAGTAGGGAGTAATGAGTAGTGGGTAGTGAGTAGTGGGTAGTGAGTAGTGGGTGCCGAGTAGTGATTAGTGAGTAGTGAGTAGTGGGTAGTGCGTAGTGCGTAGTGAGTAGTGAGTAGTGAGTGGTGAGTAGTGAGTAGTGATCAGTGAGTAGTGAGTAGTGAGTAGTGAGTAGCGAGTAGTGAGTAGTGAGTAGTGAGTAGTGAGTACTGAGTAGTACGTAGTGCGTAGTGAGTAGTGAGTAGTGATGAATAGAGAGTAGTGGGTAGTGGCAGTGGTAGTGAGTAGTGGGTAGCGAGTAGGGAGTAGCGAGTAGTGAGTAGTGAGGAGCGAGTTGGGCGTAGTGAGTAGTGAGTACTGAGTAGAGTAGTCAGTAGTGAGTAGCGGGTAGTGATTAGTGAGTAACGAGTCGGCAGTAGTGAGTAGTGCTAGTGTCTAGTGATTAGTGAGTCTTGACTGGTGATTAGAGATTATGTAGTGACTAGTGAGTAGGGAGTAGTGCGTAGTGAGTAGTGAGTAGTGAGTAGCGGGGAGTGAGTAGTGAATATTGTGTAGCGAGTATGGGAGTTGCGAGTAGTGAGTATTTATTATTGTGTAGTCAGTAATGTGTAGGGAGTAGGGAGTGGCGAGTAGCGAGTGGTAGTGGGTAGTGATTTGTGGGCAATGAGTAGTGAGTAGTGGATTAGTGGGTAGTGGGTAATGAGTAGTAATTAGTGAGCAACGGGTAGGGAGTAGTGAGTAGTGTTTAGTGAGTAGTGAGTATTGAGTAGTGGGTAGTGAGGAGTGAGTGGTAAGTAGTGAGTAGGGAAGAGGGAGTGGTGAGTAGGGAGTAGTGAGTAGCGAGTAGTGGGTGGTGGGTAGTGAGTAGTGCAGAGTGAGTATCGAGTCGTGAGTAGTGAGTAGGGGTAGTGAGAAGTGAGTAGCGAATAGCGAGTAGTCAGTAGTGGGTAGTGAGTAATAAGTAGTGAGTGCTCTTTGGGGCTGGGGTTAGTGTTCGGAGCTTGGCGTAGGGCGAGGACCAGGGGTAGGAGTGGCGGGGACAGGGTTCCGGAGTCAGGTGGCGGCGTGGCGAAAGGGGGGGGAGGGGGGGGGGGCTGCGGCCAAAGGGGGGGAGGGGAAGGGTTCGGACCCGACGACGGATCGGGGAAAGGATGGGAATGGAGGGGGTTCCCCGACGACGGATCGGGGAAGGGGGGGGAAGGGGGGGGTCCCCGACGACGGATCGGGGAAGGGAGGGGGGAGCGGCGGGAGGGGGGTCCTACCCCCCCCCCCCACTGGGGAGATCCAGCGGCGCACCCTCTATCTTACGACGGGCTTGATGGCCTTCGCAAAGGCCAGCAAGGCCAATAGGTGGAGGGTGGATCGTTCAAGCGAAAAGACGCTCGTTCGAGCGAAAACGTAATCCGTTCAAGCGAAAACCAACCGAGCGAAAACCAATCCATAGCAGCAGAGAGCAGCAGAGAGCAGCAGAGAGCAGCAGCAGAGCAGCAGCAGAGCAGCAGAGAGCAGCAGAGAGCAGCAGCAGAACAGCAGAGAACAGCAGAGAGCAGCAGAGAGCAGCAGCAGAGAGCAGCAGAGAGCAGCAGCAGAACAGCAGAGAGCAGCAGAGAGCAGCAGCAGAGAGCAGCAGAGAGCAGCAGCAGAACAGCAGAGAGCAGCAGAGAGCAGCAGAGAGCAGCAGCAGAGAGCAGCAGCAGAGAGCAGCAGCAGAGAACAGCAACAGAGAACAGCAGCAGAGAGCAGCAGAGAGCAGCAGAGAGCAGCAGCAGAGAACAGCAGAGAGCAGCAGAGAGCAGCAGCAGAGAGCAGCAGAGAGCAGCAGCAGAGAACAGCAGAGAGCAGCAAAACAGCAGAGAGCAGCAGAGAGCAGCAGAACAGCAGAGAGCAGCAGAACAGCAGAGAGCAGCAGAACAGCAGAGAGCAGCAGAACAGCAGAGAGCAGCAGAACAGCAGAGAGCAGCAGAACAGCAGAGAGCAGCAGAACAGCAGAGAGCAGCAGAACAGCAGAGAGCAGCAGAACAGCAGAGAGCAGCAGAACAGCAGAGAGCAGCAGAACAGCAGAGAGCAGCAGAACAGCAGAGAGCAGCAGAACAGCAGAGAGCAGCAGAACAGCAGAGAGCAGCAGAACAGCAGAGAGCAGCAGAACAGCAGAGAGCAGCAGAACAGCAGAGAGCAGCACAGCAGAGAGCAGCAGAACAGCAGAGAGCAGCAGAACAGCAGAGAGCAGCAGAACAGCAGAGAGCAGCAGAACAGCAGAGAGCAGCAGAACAGCAGAGAGCAGCAGAACAGCAGAGAGCAGCTGGATCTCTGGCAACTCTGGGCCGCCGTGGGTCCCAGGGGCGCCAGCCAGAGCCGGGAACCATGATTTCGGGCTTTTCCGGCCTGGATCTCTCCAAAATCATTGT